AGAAAATAGTTAGGAATTTCACGAACCAGCGCATGAAAGCTGTATTCGAAACATTGAAAGGTGAATATCTTTCCGTGATTCCTGAGTTAGTAATTTGCCTGCGAAAAACTTCCACAGCGCCGTATGTATTACCCGCGTTTACGCGAACGCTGAATTTGGATGTGCAAGGTTGAGCGTGGGCAGGTGGTCATTACCCTAAAATTTTAGCCTCCCAGACTTCGTTCCCGAGATAATAACTTACCCGTGAAAAACTTTTACGGGGCCGCACGTGTAACTCGCGGGTAAAGGAAGGCTGAATTTAAATTTGCCTCGTCACCCATTGGCGGGGAACACTATACCAAAATTTCAGCCGCCTAGCTTTTGTGGTTCCCGAGTTAAAAGTGCGAGACAAATAGAGCACTATACCAAAATTTCAGCCGCCTAGCTTTTGTGGTTCTCGAGTTGAAAGTGCGGGACAAAATGTGGGGGACACACACACACAAAAACACAAACACAGACAACCCCGTGACAATATGCGTTTTGTAACGCTGTTACACAGCACAAAACGCATATTGTCGAGAGGTGGTCTGTGTGCGTTTGTTCGGGAAGTTGTCACCCACTTTCATTTCAGCAACCGGAAAAGCTGGAAGGCTGAAATTTTGGATATATGTTCCTACCCCGTGTGTCATCCTCCCGTTTTAAGATCTTTCCCCATACGCGTCTAAATCTCGCGTACGGGATCCCCAAAGAAATGTGTTGGCGGGAAACGATTTCGCGAACCAGGCAACGTAGAAAGCTGAAATTCTCTATGCGCATGCAAGATAAAAATTTTAAGGGATATTCTCTATGCACGTGCGAGATAAAAATTTTAAACTCGGCTCTCTAGCTCCCCAACTACAGCTTCAAACAGTTCCTCAACCCAAAAGTCGTTAGCAACTCGGACCTGAACCGCAGTTGTATATGCGAATGAACATGGATTCTTTGAAAAACGACCGTTAGAGCAATACTTTCGATTTTTCAATGAAGTTAAAATTTACATATTTTCAAAAATTCGTTCGCAGCTCGGACCATAACCGCAATCGTATATGTAAATGAACGTGGATTTGTTGACAAACGACCGCTCGAGCAATACTTCCACTTTTTAGTGAACTGGAAATTTGCATTTTTTCAAA